CTGAAACGCACCAGCGCTGACTACAGAGAGCCCGAGGCAGAGTTGCTCTGCCCCGGGCTTCCTGGAATCGGCTGCTGATCAGTTTCAGCAGCAGCTGACTTGGGGACACCCGGGGCAGAGAAGCTGGGGTGCTGCCGGGTTGGTGCAGTAGTGCCGAGGAGCGGCGCTGCGGGACCAACCCAGCAGCACCCTAGCTGCTCTGCCCCAGGCGTCCCCAAGATCAGCTGGTGTACTGCCGGGTTGGTCCCGCCGCGCCAAGGGTCGGCGCTACCAGACCAACCCAGCAGCACTCCAGTTGCTCTGCCCCAGGCGTGTTCGATTCAGCCGCTGCTGGTCAGTTTCAACAGCTACTGAATCTGGACGCCAGTTCCGACTTACATACAAATTCAACTTAAAAACAAACCTACGGTCCCTATCTTGTATGTAACCCGGGGACTGCCTGTATACAAGAGGGGACTTGTGAAAAAAGAGTAAGAGCTACCATGAAAAATATCCTCTCAATTGCCACTGGAAATCAAGAGAGAGGTCCTACTGTAGTCAGTGTATATAACCAATAATGGACTGATTTATAGAGTGAAAAAAGCCTCCCAAAGTGACAAGACTAAAAAATTTAAAAAATCCTTAGTTAACAATGGTATAAAATATCTTACTCCTTTCATTGTACTCCCATAACGTTGTAACACAGTCCTGTTTTTTGTTGTAAAACAGGAAATTCTAGACCAGGGATGGCCATAAGCAACCCGTGCGCCAGATAAGGTTCACCAGGATTAGCCCCTGGCGGGCTGCCATATGATTTACCCAAGTGCCTGCAGTATATCTACTCCCCAGCTCCTGCTGGCTACGGTTTGCTCTTTCCGGCCAATGGGAGATGCGGGAAGTGGTGGCCCCTTTCAGACTGCTTCCTGCATCTCCCATTGGCTGAGAATGATGAAACACAGCCAATCGGAGAAGTGAGCAGCTGCTCAAGTAAATAAGGAATCTGGCAGCTCACCAAAGGCTAATCTTGGTGATCCACATTTGGCCCATGGGTCGCTTATTGCCTACCTTTGTTAGGAGCTGATGTAGCAGAAACCAATATGAGACTCTTTTCATAACCACTGCATTCTAGCAATTAAAAAAAGCCACATCATCTACCAAAGTTGCTACTGAATTCCCAGATTGAGGGCAACAATTCCTCTCACTGGCTGTAAGTGGTGCTCAGCTAATGGATAGTCAAATCTGTTGTTAAAAGACTAAGTTCATCAATTATTCCCTAAAGCAGTTTCCAATCTCCCACATGATTTATTGTCAGTCCAGGACAATCTTTATCAACTTGATCCAGTTTAAGACTTGGAAGCATTGTACAGCTAGTTTGGAATTTTCCTAACAAAACTACAATGTGTGGATTTAAGTAGCAACATTTTATTTTATGACACAGATATTACTAAAATGAACCTCAAGGTGTCAGTGGAATACGGTTGGTTGAATGGGATCTGAGTAACATAGTATCAATGGAAAAAAAATAAGACAGTGTGTGTACAAGTGCACATTTCTGAGTTATTTAAAAATAAATTGTTTTACAGAGATACACACAAGCAAATACACAGGTTTTAGGTGGAATATATCAGGTATCTGGTATAGTATTCTACACTGTGTTAAATTATGCCACAATATGTTGCTGCATTGTTGCATTATAAACTAAAAGGTCAACTGGTAGTTTATAAAACATTTCTACAGCATGCTATGCAAATATTTAGGCCATAGTACAATAACATAATGAAATATGTGCTTAACACATATGCTTAAGTCCCACCAGTTTTGTGATTTAAGCATATGCTTATATGTTTTCATGAATCAGGGCCCTGATGCAGAGCTGTATTTGGTTAGCACATAAGAGTTACTGATTCAGAATTAGAGAGATGTAAGCGACTAGTCAAGTATTTACTTCTTCTCTCTTGCTGCCGGTTTCCTAACTGCGTGTCAGCTGTGGATCCAGCCCGAGTGATTGTAACTGACCAGAACGTCCTGAATGCGGCTGCTTTGGCACACCTTCGCCCCCTCCTCCTCCCCCTTCCCCTCTCCCACCGACCCCTACATTCCCCTGCCCCCCCCCTCTCCCGGCAGTAGAGAGGAAAGTTACATTAACTGCGTGTCGGCTGTGGATCCAGCCGCAGTTAATCAATTACTCTAACAACTTGAAGCAGCTGCCGGAGCACTTCCGGGTTGCAGTTGGTGCCGGACCATCAGGCGTACCGGACCACTGGATGCTGGACCACCGGAGTTTTACTGTACTATCAAGAATTTTAACAGGCATAATTTAAATCCAACTTTAAACATAAAATTCTCAGGATTTATGCATGCATGAAAAATATATGGAATATGAAGAGACTCAGAAGAGGTATGGAGTGAGCACGATTTAATAGAGGCTGATTGTAAGGTATCAAGCCAGGAGTTTTTCTAGAATTATTTATGTTTGTTCATATGAAAAAGAGGGAATGTTATCCAATCCAAATCAAGCAGTCATAGACCTGCGTTGATGCAACAGTTATGCAAGATTCCAAAATAGCAAAAATAAAATCCCCTGAGTATCTACTTTTGGCTGTCACCTCAGTAATATTACTTAAGAATCTCTAGAGCGATTCATTTTTTAATGAACGAATATTAACACACTGGTATTTATCTCAAAATGGTTAAGAAACAATTACTAAGAGACATATCTAGCACATATTGAGGCATTTTTTTCTTGGTGAAAACTATGGAGGCTTCTCTACTTGTTTTTTGTAGTACCAGTGAAATCTATTTCTGATAGAAAGCAAGGAGTAAAGGAGTTTAACAAATCAAAAACAAACTAAGTAGTACAGTACTATCTTTGTAGGTTACTAATCCCTTAAATCTCTGCTCTGTCTTCACCATCCCAGAGTGTGAGGACAATATACATGTTGCTTGAGCTTAGTCCATATATGGGTAAGAGACACCTGACAGTACAGACGAAACATGCAACAAACAGTAGCTCTCAAAAGCCTACACACACTTTTACTAACACACACACACTCACTCTGCTGGTTTGTGTTTGGGGGTTCTAAAAATGGAAGTCCATAGGCTACCTCAGGATATCATCAGTTTGCTAAGTCACAACACTTCACTACACACTTTCGCATGCATTTAACACATTCAGAGTTTTATTTTCCTACACTTGACTATACCACATACAATCAAGCTCTTAGTTAATGCAAATAACATTAGTACCATATTAACTTGAAATTAGAGGAGGTGGGGGGGAAGGGGTTGAGATCTAGCATTGTGACTAATTTTGAGAAATGGTCAGAGATACTCTCATTCCAATACAGATGACTGGATAAAGTAAATTAAAAAATAATCTATGCTAGACTGTGGCTGTACTTAAAAAAGACACCTTTTTTAAACTTGATTTCATA